GAAGCGACAAATATCAGTGTGTGGAACAGCTTCAAATTCTCGTTTTCATATAATGCTTGATATGTATATCTTGCATGGATCTAGAGAGGGGATCCCCCCCAACACCATGGTTTTTTTTTCACGTATGGGATATACATTTAACATTTTTTTGCTTGTCAAGAAACTTTCTGGGTTTCATACGTTTGGAGAGGATTTTTTTTTTTGGCTTGTCAAATCTTTTGACTGGTGTGGACCCCAACTGGAAAAAAATTCCTGGATCCACGCCTGTATATGAGGGCTATGATGGTACGAGTTGATCCATCTCCACTCCACTTGGTGACATAAATTTTACAAATTGTTCAGGACTGTTATGATTTGTACAAAATATTTAACATGCATTTTAAGTACACTGTATGTGATCAACTAGGCCTGAGAATTTAACAAAGGTGTAAGCCAAACCATTCACTGCCACCCACCATAAGTCTGCTAATTAATCATATTCAAATGTACGTTTCATGAACAATGGCCAACTACGAGCCTTATCCTGAGGTCTGAATTTGGACCCAGGTGGCATGAGTGGAAAACCTTGGTAGAAGGCTAGCCGTTTCCTCCTAGATGTCAGAAGTAAACCAGAAGATTTTTTGAAAATGTAATTCCGTTTTCAATATATGTACAAGATTTGCTTGAAAAGTTATTTGCTTGCCTGTGCTATTAATAATACATGTACTATACTCCCATTTGTCACTATATCACAAATTTAATACGATTCTCTAGGTGTCAATCATAACAGTATTTTCACTATTTTGGATGAGGTTTACGAAAACATGGTTGAGGGAAAATATTTCTTGAATCTCACCTCCTGCATTTGGCATTTCTGCCAGTAGACTGCAACTGAATTTTTTTTTACAAGATGAAAAACTATATGTAAACTTCCTGCATTTACCAGTTTAATTAATATTTAGGGCATGCTGAATTTTTTGTATACTGTATTTGAGGGGGGAGTGATGAGGCCCTGCACTTGATTTTCAAGCACCTGCTGGACTTCAGCTGAAACAAACTTGTAAGCCTTCTTGGATGGCTAGTGTTTTTAGCTCACCTGAGCCAAAGGCTCAAGTAAGCTTTTCTGATCAAAGAGTGTCTCTCTGTCATCTGTTAACTTTTCACATTTTTGACTTCTCAAGAACCACTGGGCCAATTTCAACCAAACCTGCCACAAAGCATCCTTGGGTGAAGGGGATTTAAGTTTCTTCACAGGAAGTGCCAAACCCTCTTTCAAGGGAGTTAATTAAGAATTCATCAATGGGAACCTAGGGGAGAAACACAGTGCAAGTAGTACCTTACCCAGTCCCCATCTCTAGATGACAGAGAATATTTAAGTACTATGTGATACTAGTATACCCTCTGACAGAGCTGTCTTAATAATCATTCCAATCATTAACTCAGAGTAAAAGGAAAATCTCCATATATATCTTGTAAGAACCTGATGCAAAGTGCAAATAAAAACCAAGAGACCGAAAATCCACATGTATCTCGTAATACAGACACACAAGGTCATAATGTCACAGACATCACAAAATGCAGTGTACTTCATTATTTTAATAACCCCTGATATTTAAGTAATACATGTATACACAAAATACATAGTGCCATTATGTATGAAGAAGTTTTAAAACTGATCAATCAACTCAAAAAATGATCAATCAATATTCATAAATGCAATGATTCATTTTATGCAATGTACCGGTAATAATTAAAATAATAGAATTCACACTAGTTTTAAACTTGGGAATATCACAGGGAAATACACAACCAATGTGGGTTACTTTCGCCTGTTCTTGAGACTTTCTAGGTACATTCCCAGTGATTTCTGAATGGCATCCTTTGTGATGTAATCCCTGAAATAGCCTATATCTTCTTCTTTCCTTTTAATAAGTTTTTCTATTGTTGGTCGCCTGGCTTCGGTTTTACTCAACTGTCTTGCAAAAGCTAGAAAGTAAGAAATATTTAGAATTGTTTAATAAAAATATATATGTGAACTGCTCTACAAAATTTGAATGAGATATTGTTAAAATATTTAAATCAATATTTTATTAAAAAACATATGGATGTCAGGAGTGAAACCAAATATGGTAAAATTGGATCCCTTGAAAATCTTAGTATTATTTAAAAGACAACTTACTACAATATATCAAACTTCTAATTTGGCTTAGATTTGAAGAAGCGACTACATTGACAAAAAAGCAATTTTTTCTTAACATTGCATTATATTTCTTTCATATTAAAACTTTTCAAACCAGAATTGAGATACCTGATAATCAATATTAAATAACAATCAAAAAGGCAATTTTTATGCATTTGTCAATTCTATTGTCGCTTTAGATATGAAGTAGCACTGAGGACCAATATGGTGCGTGGTTTATACATGTATCTGTCATTGTTTGGCCTTTAATGACTTGGAAACAGATCTTTTTGTGATCACTGATCCGAAAACATTAGGTTTATACATTTTTTGAAGAAACATATCCATCCTTCATGATATGAAATGAGGACTTTTTAACCTCCTTCAGTACTTACCTGGAATTTTTAACCTCTCCCGGTACTTACCCGAAATTTTTAACCTCTGTCAGTACTTACCTGGAATTTTTAACCTCTCTTGGTACTTACCACAGATTTTGAACCTCAGTCAGTACTTACCAGGAATTTTTAACCACTGTCAGTACTTACAAGGAATTTTTAACCTCTGTCAGTACTTCCCAGGAATTTTTAACCTCCTTTAATACTTACCAGGAATTTTTAACCATCTCTCCATTTCTAGCTTGGCAGCATTAAGTACTTCTTCTTGTGGAACAACTTTGTCAATAAGGCCAATATTTAAGGCCTCGTCTGTCTTGAACAGAGTGCCTAGCTGAAGGGCCATTTCTGTTTGTCTGAAACCTACTGTGTTAAACATTACATCAACAAACCTGTAAAAAAAAAATTTACTGAGAAAGGTGATTAGATTAACGGCTTGAGTTATCTTTCTTTGCACAGAAAAAATACATACCAGAATGGTGCTACAATTCCCTGAAAAATGAAAACAGTTGCAATGTTTCAATAATTCCAGGACTTTAAAAGCCTACTAAAATGTAGATATATCTTGAACATCCCTCTTAAATCCTTTTGTTACCTGATACTGATCTATGATAGCTATAAGGATCAAATACATAACATTGTATGATTTTTGAGGTTTATTTCTAATATTAAACAAAACAAGTATATATATATAGAGAGAGAGAGAGAGAAAATATTTTTTTTTTAATTTGTTAGAATAATCTAGTAAATAAACTTACATACCAGCTGTGTTTCATTTAGTCCGATGGTATAGTTAGGTGCCATTATTCTGTAGTCACAACTAATAGACATTAGACAACCACCTGCTGGGCTGTGTCCCTGTCAAAGTTCAAACAGAGTCATGTGTGCCAGGGGGAACAGTGTGCAAAAAGTATAAAGGCAGAAAACTTAAAAATTAACCTGTCAAAGTCATACCAGAGTCATATGTGTGTAAAAAGTATAAATGTAGAAAAATTGTCAATAATCCTGGCAGTTTAAAAATATGCATAAAACACAAACTCATACTCATTTTTAGAATTTGAAAATGTAGGAAATTAACTGACATTAATTGCTGCTATGGTAACTCGACTCATTCCATAGAGTTTGATCCACATGTCCTGGAGTGTTCGCCAAAACTCCTGTAGCCTGTCAATGTCGGGTTGGTACATCTCAGTGATATCGAGACCTGCACTAAATATCTTAGGAAGGTCCTACAAAACACAGTATTGTTACACTGAATATCTTACTAGCAAGATCCTACAAAACACAGTATTGTTACACTGAATATCTTACTAGCAATGTCCTACAAAACACAGTATTGTTACACTGAATATCTTACTAGCAATGTCCTACAAAACACAGTATTGTTACACTGAATATCTTACTAGAGAGGTCCTACAAAACACAGTATTGTTACATTGAATATCTTACTAGCAAGGTCCTACAAAACACAGTATTGTTACACTGAATATCTTACTAGCAATGTCCTACAAAACACAGTATTGTTACACTGAATATCTTACTAGCAATGTCCTACAAAACACAGTATTGTTACACTGAATATCTTACTAGCAATGTCCTTCAAAACACAGTATTGGTACACTGAATATCTTACTAGCAATGTCCTACAAAACACAGTATTGTTACGCTGAATATCTTACTAGCGAGATCCTAAAAAACAAAGTATTGTTACATTGAATATCTTACTAGGGAGGTCCTACAAAACACAGTATTGTTACACTGAATGTCTTACTAGGGAGGTCCTACAAAACACAGAATTGTTATACTGAATATCTTACTAGAGAGGCCCTACAAAACAGAATTGTTACACTTACTAGGGAGGTCCTACAAAACACAGAATTGTTACACTGAATATCTTACTAGGGAGGCCCTACAAAACACAGTACTGTTACACTGAATATCTTACTAGGGAGGTCCAACAAAACACAGAATTGTTACACTGAAAATCTTACTAGGGAGGCCCTACAAAACACAGTATTGTTACACGGAGTGTCTTACTAGGGCGGTCCTACAAAACACAGTATTGTTACACTGAATATCTTAGGGAGGCTCTACAAAACACAGAATTGTTACACTGAATATCTTACTAGGGTGGTCCTACAAAACACAGTATTGTTACACTGAATATCTTACTAGGGAGGTCCTACAAAACACAGTATTGTTACACGGAATGTCTTACTAGGGCGGTCCTACAAAACACAGTATTGTTACATTGAATATCTTACTAGCAATGTCCTACAAAACACAGTATTGTTATACTGAATGTCTTACTAGGGAGGTCCTACAAAACACAGAATTGTTATACTGAATATCTTACTAGCGAGATCCTCTAAAACACAGAATTGTTACACTGAATATCTTACTAGCGAGGTCCTACAAAACACAGAATTGTTACACTGAATATCTTACTAGCGAGATCCTACAAAACACAGTATTGTTACATTGAATATCTTACTAGCAAGGTCCTACAAAACACAGTATTGTTACACTGAATATCTTACTAGCAATGTCCTACAAAACACAATATTGTTACACTGAATATCTTACTAGCAATGTCCTACAAAACACAGTATTGTTACACTGAATATCTTACTAGCAATGTCCTACAAAACACAGTATTGTTACACTGAATATCTTACTAGCAATGTCCTACAAAACACAGTATTGTTACACGGAATGTCTTACTAGGGCGGTCCTACAAAACACAGTATTGTTACATTGAATATCTTACTAGCAATGTCCTACAAAACACAGTATTGTTACACGGAATGACTTACTAGCAAGGTCCTACAAAACACAGTATTGTTACATTGAATATCTTACTAGCAAGGTCCTACAAAACACAGTATTGTTACACTGAATATCTTACTAGCAATGTCCTACAAAACACAGTATTGTTACACTGAATATCTTACTAGCAATGTCCTACAAAACATAGTATTGTTACACGGAATGTCTTACTAGCGAGATCCTACAAAACACAATATTGTTACATTGAATATCTTACTAGAGAGGTCCTACAAAACACAGTATTGTTACACTGAATATCTTACTAGGGAGGTCCTACAAAACACAGTATTGTTACACTGAATATCTTACTAGGGAGGTCTTACAAAACACAGAATTGTTACACTGAATATCTTACTAGGGAGGCCCTACAAAACACAGTATTGTTACACTGAATATCTTACTAGGGAGGTCCTACAAAACACAGTATTGTTACACGGAATGTCTTACTAGGGCGGTCCTACAAAACACAGTATTGTTACATTGAATATCTTACTAGCAATGTCCTACAAAACACAGTATTGTTATACTGAATGTCTTACTAGGGAGGTCCTACAAAACACAGAATTGTTATACTGAATATCTTACTAGCGAGATCCTACAAAACACAGAATTGTTACACTGAATATCTTACTAGCGAGGTCCTACAAAACACAGAATTGTTACACTGAATATCTTACTAGCGAGATCCTACAAAACACAGTATTGTTACATTGAATATCTTACTAGCAAGGTCCTACAAAACACAGTATTGTTACACTGAATATCTTACTAGCAATGTCCTACAAAACACAATATTGTTACACTGAATATCTTACTAGCAATGTCCTACAAAACACAGTATTGTTACACTGAATATCTTACTAGCAATGTCCTACAAAACACAGTATTGTTACACTGAATATCTTACTAGCAATGTCCTACAAAACACAGTATTGTTACACGGAATGTCTTACTAGGGCGGTCCTACAAAACACAGTATTGTTACATTGAATATCTTACTAGCAATGTCCTACAAAACACAGTATTGTTACACGGAATGACTTACTAGCAATGTCCTACAAAACACAGTATTGTTACATTGAATATCTTACTAGCAAGGTCCTACAAAACACAGAATTGTTACACTGAATATCTTACTAGCGAGATCCTACAAAACACAGTATTGTTACATTGAATATCTTACTAGCAAGGTCCTACAAAACACAGTATTGTTACACTGAATATCTTACTAGCAATGTCCTACAAAACACAATATTGTTACACTGAATATCTTACTAGCAATGTCCTACAAAACACAGTATTGTTACACTGAATATCTTACTAGGGAGGTCCTACAAAACACAGTATTGTTACACTGAATATCTTACTAGGGAGGTCTTACAAAACACAGAATTGTTACACTGAATATCTTACTAGGGAGGCCCTACAAAACACAGTATTGTTACACTGAATATCTTACTAGGGAGGTCCTACAAAACACAGTATTGTTACACTGAATATCTTAGGGAGGCTCTACAAAACAAAGTATTGTTACACTGAATATCTTACTAGCGAGGTCCTACAAAACACAATATTGTTACATTGAATATCTTACTAGAGAGGTCCTACAAAACACAGTATTGTTACACTGAATATCTTACTAGGGAGGTCCTACAAAACACAGAATTGTTACACTGAATATCTTACTAGGGAGGTCCTACAAAACACAGAATTGTTACACTGAATATCTTAGGGAGGCTCTACAAAACACAGAATTGTTACACTGAATATCTTACTAGGGTGGTCCTACAAAACACAGTATTGTTACACTGAATATCTTACTAGGGAGGTCCTACAAAACACAGAATTGTTACACTGAATATCTTACTAGCGAGATCCTACAAAACACAGTATTGTTACATTGAATATCTTACTAGCAAGGTCCTACAAAACACAGTATTGTTACACTGAATATCTTACTAGCAATGTCCTACAAAACACAATATTGTTACACTGAATATCTTACTAGCAATGTCCTACAAAACACAGTATTGTTACACTGAATATCTTACTAGCAATGTCCTACAAAACACAGTATTGTTACACTGAATATCTTACTAGCAATGTCCTACAAAACACAGTATTGTTACACGGAATGTCTTACTAGGGCGGTCCTACAAAACACAGTATTGTTACATTGAATATCTTACTAGCAATGTCCTACAAAACACAGTATTGTTACACGGAATGACTTACTAGCAAGGTCCTACAAAACACAGTATTGTTACATTGAATATCTTACTAGCAAGGTCCTACAAAACACAGTATTGTTACACTGAATATCTTACTAGCAATGTCCTACAAAACACAGTATTGTTACACTGAATATCTTACTAGCAATGTCCTACAAAACATAGTATTGTTACACGGAATGTCTTACTAGCGAGATCCTACAAAACACAATATTGTTACATTGAATATCTTACTAGAGAGGTCCTACAAAACACAGTATTGTTACACTGAATATCTTACTAGGGAGGTCCTACAAAACACAGTATTGTTACACTGAATATCTTACTAGGGAGGTCTTACAAAACACAGAATTGTTACACTGAATATCTTACTAGGGAGGCCCTACAAAACACAGTATTGTTACACTGAATATCTTACTAGGGAGGTCCTACAAAACACAGTATTGTTACACGGAATGTCTTACTAGGGCGGTCCTACAAAACACAGTATTGTTACATTGAATATCTTACTAGCAATGTCCTACAAAACACAGTATTGTTATACTGAATGTCTTACTAGGGAGGTCCTACAAAACACAGAATTGTTATACTGAATATCTTACTAGCGAGATCCTACAAAACACAGAATTGTTACACTGAATATCTTACTAGCGAGGTCCTACAAAACACAGAATTGTTACACTGAATATCTTACTAGCGAGATCCTACAAAACACAGTATTGTTACATTGAATATCTTACTAGCAAGGTCCTACAAAACACAGTATTGTTACACTGAATATCTTACTAGCAATGTCCTACAAAACACAATATTGTTACACTGAATATCTTACTAGCAATGTCCTACAAAACACAGTATTGTTACACTGAATATCTTACTAGCAATGTCCTACAAAACACAGTATTGTTACACTGAATATCTTACTAGCAATGTCCTACAAAACACAGTATTGTTACACGGAATGTCTTACTAGGGCGGTCCTACAAAACACAGTATTGTTACATTGAATATCTTACTAGCAATGTCCTACAAAACACAGTATTGTTACACGGAATGACTTACTAGCAATGTCCTACAAAACACAGTATTGTTACATTGAATATCTTACTAGCAAGGTCCTACAAAACACAGAATTGTTACACTGAATATCTTACTAGCGAGATCCTACAAAACACAGTATTGTTACATTGAATATCTTACTAGCAAGGTCCTACAAAACACAGTATTGTTACACTGAATATCTTACTAGCAATGTCCTACAAAACACAATATTGTTACACTGAATATCTTACTAGCAATGTCCTACAAAACACAGTATTGTTACACTGAATATCTTACTAGGGAGGTCCTACAAAACACAGTATTGTTACACTGAATATCTTACTAGGGAGGTCTTACAAAACACAGAATTGTTACACTGAATATCTTACTAGGGAGGCCCTACAAAACACAGTATTGTTACACTGAATATCTTACTAGGGAGGTCCTACAAAACACAGTATTGTTACACTGAATATCTTAGGGAGGCTCTACAAAACAAAGTATTGTTACACTGAATATCTTACTAGCGAGGTCCTACAAAACACAATATTGTTACATTGAATATCTTACTAGAGAGGTCCTACAAAACACAGTATTGTTACACTGAATATCTTACTAGGGAGGTCCTACAAAACACAGAATTGTTACACTGAATATCTTACTAGGGAGGTCCTACAAAACACAGAATTGTTACACTGAATATCTTAGGGAGGCTCTACAAAACACAGAATTGTTACACTGAATATCTTACTAGGGTGGTCCTACAAAACACAGTATTGTTACACTGAATATCTTACTAGGGAGGTCCTACAAAACACAGAATTGTTACACTGAATATCTTACTAGCGAGATCCTACAAAACACAGTATTGTTACATTGAATATCTTACTAGCAAGGTCCTACAAAACACAGTATTGTTACACTGAATATCTTACTAGCAATGTCCTACAAAACACAATATTGTTACACTGAATATCTTACTAGCAATGTCCTACAAAACACAGTATTGTTACACTGAATATCTTACTAGCAATGTCCTACAAAACACAGTATTGTTACACTGAATATCTTACTAGCAATGTCCTACAAAACACAGTATTGTTACACGGAATGTCTTACTAGGGCGGTCCTACAAAACACAGTATTGTTACATTGAATATCTTACTAGCAATGTCCTACAAAACACAGTATTGTTACACGGAATGACTTACTAGCAAGGTCCTACAAAACACAGTATTGTTACATTGAATATCTTACTAGCAAGGTCCTACAAAACACAGTATTGTTACACTGAATATCTTACTAGCAATGTCCTACAAAACACAGTATTGTTACACTGAATATCTTACTAGCAATGTCCTACAAAACATAGTATTGTTACACGGAATGTCTTACTAGCGAGATCCTACAAAACACAATATTGTTACATTGAATATCTTACTAGAGAGGTCCTACAAAACACAGTATTGTTACACTGAATATCTTACTAGGGAGGTCCTACAAAACACAGTATTGTTACACTGAATATCTTACTAGGGAGGTCTTACAAAACACAGAATTGTTACACTGAATATCTTACTAGGGAGGCCCTACAAAACACAGTATTGTTACACTGAATATCTTACTAGGGAGGTCCTACAAAACACAGTATTGTTACACGGAATGTCTTACTAGGGCGGTCCTACAAAACACAGTATTGTTACATTGAATATCTTACTAGCAATGTCCTACAAAACACAGTATTGTTATACTGAATGTCTTACTAGGGAGGTCCTACAAAACACAGAATTGTTATACTGAATATCTTACTAGCGAGATCCTACAAAACACAGAATTGTTACACTGAATATCTTACTAGCGAGGTCCTACAAAACACAGAATTGTTACACTGAATATCTTACTAGCGAGATCCTACAAAACACAGTATTGTTACATTGAATATCTTACTAGCAAGGTCCTACAAAACACAGTATTGTTACACTGAATATCTTACTAGCAATGTCCTACAAAACACAATATTGTTACACTGAATATCTTACTAGCAATGTCCTACAAAACACAGTATTGTTACACTGAATATCTTACTAGCAATGTCCTACAAAACACAGTATTGTTACACTGAATATCTTACTAGCAATGTCCTACAAAACACAGTATTGTTACACGGAATGTCTTACTAGGGCGGTCCTACAAAACACAGTATTGTTACATTGAATATCTTACTAGCAATGTCCTACAAAACACAGTATTGTTACACGGAATGACTTACTAGCAATGTCCTACAAAACACAGTATTGTTACATTGAATATCTTACTAGCAAGGTCCTACAAAACACAGAATTGTTACACTGAATATCTTACTAGCGAGATCCTACAAAACACAGTATTGTTACATTGAATATCTTACTAGCAAGGTCCTACAAAACACAGTATTGTTACACTGAATATCTTACTAGCAATGTCCTACAAAACACAATATTGTTACACTGAATATCTTACTAGCAATGTCCTACAAAACACAGTATTGTTACACTGAATATCTTACTAGGGAGGTCCTACAAAACACAGTATTGTTACACTGAATATCTTACTAGGGAGGTCTTACAAAACACAGAATTGTTACACTGAATATCTTACTAGGGAGGCCCTACAAAACACAGTATTGTTACACTGAATATCTTACTAGGGAGGTCCTACAAAACACAGTATTGTTACACTGAATATCTTAGGGAGGCTCTACAAAACAAAGTATTGTTACACTGAATATCTTACTAGCGAGGTCCTACAAAACACAATATTGTTACATTGAATATCTTACTAGAGAGGTCCTACAAAACACAGTATTGTTACACTGAATATCTTACTAGGGAGGTCCTACAAAACACAGAATTGTTACACTGAATATCTTACTAGGGAGGTCCTACAAAACACAGAATTGTTACACTGAATATCTTAGGGAGGCTCTACAAAACACAGAATTGTTACACTGAATATCTTACTAGGGTGGTCCTACAAAACACAGTATTGTTACACTGAATATCTTACTAGGGAGGTCCTACAAAACACAGAATTGTTACACTGAATATCTTAGGGAGGCTCTACAAAACACAGAATTGTTACACTGAATATCTTAGGGAGGCTCTACAAAACACAGAATTGTTACACTGAATATCTTACTAGGGAAGGCCTACAAAACACAGAATTGTTACACTGAATATCTTAGGGAGGCTCTACAAAACACAGAATTGTTACACTGAATATCTTACTAGGGAGGTCCTACAAAACACAGAATTGTTACACTGAATATCTTAGGGAGGCTCTACAAAACACAGAATTGTTACACTGAATATCTTACTAGGGAGGTCCTACAAAACACAGTATTGTTACACTGAAAATCTTACTAGAGAGGTCCTACAAAACACAGTATTGTTACACTGAATATCTTACTAGGGAGGTCCTACAAAACACAGAATTGTTACACTGAATATCTTACTAGGGAGGTCCTACAAAACACAGTATTGTTACACTGAATATCTTACTAGGGAGGTCCTACAAAACATAGAATTGTTACACTGAATATCTTAGGGAGGCTCTACAAAACAAAGTATTGTTACACTGAATATCTTAGGCTCTACATGTACAAAACACAGAATTCTAAGGGAGGTTATACAAAACACTGAATTGTTACACTGAATATTTTAGGGAAGCCACGAAAACACTAAAAATCTTAATATGAAGACTCTACAAAACACAGAATTCTTAGGGAGGCCCCTACAAAACAGAAACACTGAATATCTTTTGAAGACTCTACAAAATGCAAATTGTAACACAGAACATCTTATGGGGCTTGCAAAACACAGAATTGTTACACTTTTGGGTAATTTTACAAATATTTACATTTTAATTTATTATACAAAGGAAACAAATTATTTATAAAGTCTCCATTCAGAACGCCATGATTGAAGTGAAACTCATGTTAAGTCAAATTTGAACTTGGTGCAGATATTTTTCAATGGAAAAATTGATCATCCAAGAGAAAGTCATTTCAAATAAGATATTAGCAAACATAAACAAATTTAAGATTCATACATATAAAAAAAAAGGTACAGTCAAGCACTTAGGTTTCCAAGCAAATAATCCAGATTAATGAAGAAACCAGTTAACAGGAACCCGATAGTTATGTCTAGCAGATGTAAATTATGTTTTCTGAATATTTCGTCCAGAAGGTACTGGATCCAGATTACCAAGGCTCCACTGCATCAAAATCGTCACATCAAAATTTTGACCTTGAACTTTGACCAGGTGACTAAAACATCTGTAGTTGTCTTTCCTTAGCCAACCTTCATCTGTTTAGTAAATATGAAGTCAGCAGATTGAAAGCTACTTCAGTGATCACGTTACATAAGTGTTAGACAGACAGATAGACAGAAGGACAGAGAACACTATCTTAATGTAGGGCACTTCCATTATCAACACATACCAACTTAAACCAATACCTGGGCTTGAAAACTTGGACCCAGGGGCCATAAATTTCACATTTGGTAAAGGGCACATTGATGATTTTTTTTAAGATTGCCTTAATTTTGATGGTTTTCTCCAGTCCTTTATATTACCTTCAGAAATGATGATGATGAGTTTGGTCATCACTTTCTTTCATGTGTGGATAAAATTTACTTATCAAAAAACACATCTAATATGTTATGTACTCTACCTGTCAAATGTGACACAGAAGCATGTAACTTACTGATGTGATAATGAGTCCTTTACATTGTTTGTCATTTTCAACTTTTTCCAGAGCAATGTTGATTTCCGTTAAAAATTCCAAGTTCAGACTGTTTACTGGTGGTTTGTTCATTGACAAAACTGCTATTCCTGTAAGTAAACAATCAAAATATTATAAATGACTGAATTTTAACAAGAGGCCCACAGGCAACAAAGCTCACCTGTGTCACTTTTCGCTTTCTGACAAATGTAGATAAATGTAACCCTGTATGGTTTGTCATGTGCTCAGTTTCACCCTTTTACAGTTGCAAATGTTTATAAACATGATAAAATCTTTCTTTATACAGGGGTTTACAGTTGTGATCATTGCAGAAAAAAATACCCCCACCCCCTCTTTCATTTGAAATAAGTAAGAAACTATATATTCCATTTACATCACAGGAGAGTTACAAGTACACTTTAAAAATAATAATAAAATTAAAATTCAATACAAGTCAAATTCATACAGGTATGATTCAAAAGTACCGGTATAAGAAAACTGAGCACACATGAGCTTATACATATGCATGGACTACAAATCAGAAACGTGGACAAAAAATCCTGAGAAAATGAGTTATATTACTAAATACAAAATATATACATATTAGGGATGGCAATGAATATTCGAACATTCGAATATTCATTCGATGAGTTGATATTCGAATATGAATTTAAGATTCGAATATTCGGTGTTTTTCAGATTTCATAAAAAGAAGTACTGTGGTTAATAAATTTTGATTAGAACAGTACTGGAATCATCCCTGTTTAATTTACTAGCGATCGATTTCGATCGCCTGATTTCTTTCACTACTTTCTTAGCTTATAAATCTACTAAAGAACGTATTTTGTTTTGAGTAAGGTGTTAAAGAATTGTCAGTAATGCTTTAAGTATAATACAAAACGTACTTTCATAGTTTTTATTAGTTAGATACGATCGGATCTAGAATCGAGGACAACAAATGAAATTTAAGAATGTCTAAATGGCGTGAAGAGTATACTTATCAAAATAAAATTAATTGATCATTGAATGAATGTCCGATAGAATTAATCTGTAATTAATATTGTAAAGGGCTTAATTTCAGAATGAGAATGTAAATTACTTGACTATCTCGGGTTGAACATAATTATGAATTTTATATTAATTATCGGGAAATTAGTTAATTACCTAGGAAAATTGTCTATGGAAATATTTTTTTACATTGTATCAAAGATTATAATCATATCTCTTATCAGGCAGATAATTGTAATTTATTACACATACTGAAATCTGAACAGTATACCGTTACGACTATCTTGCCTTTGGTAAGACGACTGGTTCCTCAGTTGGAGCTACTATAAATACACGTTTCATTTGTTAAAATTATACTTTTCTACATTTAAATCAATTATTTATTTCAAACATTGGCAAATATCAAATGGAATTTCTTATTGTACACCTACAAAAGTCTTCATACAATTTTACTATCAATATAAGCATACCTACGCTAAACCTTTCATGAGAGTAGGATGATGCATATTTAAGATTAAACAGATTTTATTTATTTTATCAAATATTCGAATATATTCGAATACTTTCACTGAATATTCGAATATGAATTATTTACAAAATTGACATCCCTAATACATTATATAAATAGTGCACATTTTTTAGGGTAACAGTTGAAATTGACACCCCTCGGAAAACCATTGTCAACCGACGCGTCAGCGGAGGTTGACAATGGTTTTCCGAGGGGTGTCAATTTCAACTGTTACCCTCAAAAATGTGCACTATTTATTTTATTATACTGAATGTCTTATTGATTTCGTATCTCATAAAAAAAATTCAGTGATCGTCGTTAAGTTCACGCTTAGAAAGCTTTCAAACTCCGCTTCTATTTTTCTCAATAAGAAAGCTTCGGAAAAGATTTACCAACCTCTTTATTGTTTGTTTGCTACTCAAAAAGTTCTTTATCATCTAAAGTGTGCACTCGCAAGTATGTTTCGTATGTCGTTTGTTGTTTTCAAGTAAGCTACATCGGACGCAAGCTTTAAATGACGTTGTTTATTGGGCTTCTTTCAAACGCACAACCGACATTTTGAGAATTCTATGGTGAACCGTACGCGCATGATTTGAACGCATGTGATATTTTCGTAATGTTACCCGTTGTCAAGTGTGTTGCTATCGCTGAGGGTAACATTACGGATTGTTAAATGCGTCTAAACCAATCATATTTTAGTATTTAACATGAAAGTATAATAAATATATATATCTGCATACATATATTTTGGTCAAAGCGTCCCCTTCATTTTTGTCAAAGCTCCCCATAATATAATTTTACAGGTAATTGATGTAAATTGATGTAAAAATACCCCGTCCCCAAGTATTGGTCAAAGCGCCCCCTCATTTTGGTCAAAGTGCCCCCTAATATAATTTTACAGGAACATTCTCAAAACTTTCTTTTATGATAAAAACATTTCTGTATCTATATCAAATAAAACAAACAAACAAAAGTCAACCATAATTTGGAAACTTTTCTGAGAGATTATCCAGTATATAATATTATGCAATAATTGGGTTTAATAATTAGATTTTGAAGTTCAGAAAGTCAACTTTGGGTTTAAATTTTTTTCATTTTTTCTTCAAAATAATGGCTCTTATTGAGAAGGCCCCCAGGTGGCAAGAGCTGGGCAACGGTATCAATATCCATTTTTTTTAGGGGGGAGGAGGATAATTAATTGATACCGACGAACGTTCTCATTTCTTTGGAAATGTTTTCTATAAAATTATTCAAACTTAGTTAATATTAATCTCTTATATTTCATGGGTCATGCTGAACAAACAAAAGAAATAAATAGCATAAATTAGTAAAGGGACCAAATTTAGGGGGCTTTTTGCAAACAAACATTCTATAGAATATCTAAGGGGTGCTTTGACCAAATAAAGGGGCGCTTTGACCAAAATCGGGGGGGAAGGAGGGGGTTGACCAATGTTTGGTGACGGTTTCGAAACAGAATTTTTCTATAAAATTATATTACGGGGCGCTTTGAACAAAATCAGGGGGCGCTTTGACCAATAATTGGGGGGGGTTTTGTAACATCATTTTACTGTAAATTTTTTTAGGGGGCACTTTGACCAAAATCAGGGGGCGCTTTGACCAGTTTGGTTTTGGTAGGGGCGCATTGACTGGATTTCGTTGACTCAGGACCCCTGAAGTTGTGAGGATGTTTATATACTTATTTTTAATAATTTTGTTAAACTTAAAAAAACTTGGACAGGACACTCTGAGATGGATTGGCAGATGGGAATATAAAATTTAAATTTTATGTGGCCTTATTCACGACTTATTCATTACCTGTTTTACTGTCCACATTGAAGTCCAGTGTAGACCCAGCCCCCGTGACATTCCTTCTGCAAACTCTGTGTAAAGGAACATTTTTTCTCAAGCACTGCCGGGCCATACAATAGCCTATGAGAAAAGTGAAATACAGTCATGCAGCTCTTCAACTGTTCAAACATCTTCAATCTGTAAAGTTCTAGATATTAGGCTATAAATAAGATAATTTTTCAGTCCCTTTTCCTGAATCAGTTTCATTTTTCTAGATCAATGCAAATTACAAGTAATATTTCATGGATTTTGTCATCTTTATTTTTTAATATATTTAATCAAATAAATTTTATTATTGACAGTAACCCCGGTCGCTGCATTTAGCAGACTTGGCTCCAAGAGCCATTCTGACCTTTAACACTGTTTACTGAGGTGAGAGTTTAGAATAGATACTGTATTTTTGCTGGAAAATCATTGAAATGCGTCCTCCCAATGGTATACCATGGCTAAGACATGACATGATTACCTGAAGTAACAAGCCCGAGTCTCATCTTGATCAACCAGTGTCTAGAACAGTGTAAATAGAACCTATCGTGTCAACTCTTGCGTGTTATGAGAGTAATCTCCCTTAGAAGAGAGCACTAACTACGTCAATCTTCTTAATAATTAAAAATGATAGTATATGTACTTTGTTAACAGGTTAATGCTAAGAATAGGGATATATTTTTTTCTATATCTGTGGACTGGTGAAGGTATCGAATAAAAGGCAGCAAAAAAGATGATTTATATATATACCGATTATTATAAAATACTTCGTTTTCTGTTTTCGTTTTCTGTAATTAGGGCAATCTGACGTCGCCCCACTTTCCTCCTACACGTGGTTTGTGAAACAACCGGCAACATTCTCTTCAGAAGGTTATATACAGGGTTTGTCAGGCGTCTTTCGACCATGCCAAATCCTGAGTGTTTCTTCGACATCACGATCGACAAAAAGCCGGCTGGCCGCATTTGTTTTGAGGCAAGTGTAATGAGAAATCAGGACTTGTCATGCATGCTTGTGTCTTATGAAATGTCATTTTAGCTCAACTGAGCTGAAAGTTGTACTGAGCTTTTCTGATCACATTTTGTCTGGCGTCCGTCTAGCTATCCGTCTTTTTGTACTCTTTTCACAATTTCAACTTCTTCTAAATATCCACTTGGCTACTTTCAACCAAACTTGTCACAAAGCACCCTTGGAGAAAATTGGAAGGCAAGTTTGTGTGATGAATGAATGACCAATGTTCTAATGACCTTCTTTCATTAGGAAGATAATTAAGAATTACTCAATGAGTGAAATTTAATGACATCCTTTAAAAATCTTCTGATGAAGAATTACTGGGTTCATAAAAGCTGAAACTTGTATGAAAGCTTCATTACATAATGTAGATTCAAGCTTTTTGTTCAAATTATGACCTCAAGCACTGGCAGATCCAGAATTCTTGAAAAGGGGGGGGGGGGGTCCAGTTGGGGGTCGGCGTGGGGGCCCAGGGGCCACACCAAAAAAATGATTCATTAAATTTTATATATATTTTTGGACACAAAAGGGGGTCTGGAAGGGGGGCCTAGCCCCCCCCCCCCCAATCCACCAGTGCCCAGTTGTAGGGTTGGCCCATGATGGGCGATCAAAGTTTTACATAGGAATATGTACTAGGAAAAATCTTTAAAAATCTGGTTCTAAAGAACAGCAAAGCCATGATTAATCATACTGATATGGAACCATCCTCAAGTAGTGTAGATTCAAATCAAGACCCCTGGGTGTAAGATGGGGCCACATTGGGTGATCATAGTTTTACAAAGGAATATACTGGGGAAAAACTGCTGATGAAAAACAGCAGGGCCATAATTAAATGACTCAGGTGAACATTGTGGATATCTTGGTCTTTTGTTCTTAAGGACCATGACTCTTTCTGTAGTAGGGTTAGAACCAGATATTTCTTGGTTAAACACAGTAATTGTCCATTTTACAAAAAAAGAACTTGAAACTAATAAAACAAAGTATTTTCACAGGCCCAGTGTTTTCCCTTTATTTCAAAGTAAAGGGTTAGAGATCAATTGTAACAGGCTTTGGGTTGAAGTTTATGACAAATCTCTGTGGACCTTACAACAATTAAATTTGATTTTTTTAATTTCAAAGCAGCATTTTTAATATCAATTGAAGCTGTCAATTTGGCCGGCAACTGGTTCTTAGGGAAAACACTGCAGGCCCATGTCTTGGTGTCTTTGTCTCACGCACCATGACTAGATCTCTCTGTACTAGGGTTAAAACCAGAAATTTTCTGGTTGAATGCAGCATTCGTTCGTTTTATGAAAAAAAAAAAAAAATTGAAACTAAGAAAACAAAGCATTTTCACAGTTTATTTTAATCACTAAATTCCTAAAAGATAAAGGTTTAAGGTTCACTGACCCTCTGATAAGAGAGGTAACTCTCTGGGAGTAAGGTCTATTATTCCTTTATGAAATCATAGAACTTAGAATTTCCAGAATTTGTAAATGTAAAAACAATTTATTTTTTTTTTTTAGAAAATTGAGGGGTAAAAAATTGGGGCAGTGGGGATGAGAATCGAGAATCTAAGATTTTTTTTGTTATGGCCTATTATTTTTATTATGGTCTAAATGTGAAATATATATGCATAAGCAAGCATGAACAAATGAAATATGATCATGAATTAGGACACTTTTAATAAGTTTTTTCTTTTTTTTCAGTTGAGAGCTGATGTGGTTCCCAAAACAGCAGGTAAAGAATATCATGTATGCATTCACAGAAATGTAAATATTGTCATTGTATCAACTCTGATATCATTCTAAATAGTAGTGAACTTTTAAGGAATATAATATGTTAATATACATTCAACTACCAGTAGAAGAAAACTTTTGTTGTTTGATGATAGTGCGGTAGGGTAATAGGATCCTGTTCTGATCCATTACCAGTACATTGATGTCTTTCCTGTTAAGAGGACATTATACTTCTCTGCTAATTTGTATGACAATTAATTAAAACCCAATTTTTTTTATCCATTTGGAAAAATAATGTCTCAGATATATATATATTTTTTAACAGAGAACTTCCGAGCTTTGTGCACAGGAGAGAAGGGTTTTGGGTTTGCTGGTTCCATTTTCCACAGAATAATCCCTGACTTTATGATCCAGGGCGGAGACTTCACAAAGGGCAATGGTACAGGAGGGAAGAGTATCTACGGAAGCAAATTTCCGGACGAGAACTTCCAGTTGAAGCACGCTGGGCCAGGTAAGATAAAACTAATAAAGGCAGGGTTTGACATTCACGCTTTCCATCCCGGAATGATTTTGGACGACCTGATTTTCAATCTGGCTCGCCAAAATGACGACCTTGGACGAGTTGGGAATATTCAATAATGTTGTTTAATATTTTAAAATAAACTTTATAAGGCCTTGAAAACATTGTTTCCTGTAACCTGACCGACCCATTCAAATAGCAGCCGCGTGGATTTTTCTTTCTGCCAAATCTGTGTTTGATCAATCAGCTGATGTAATTTTTACCAATAGTGTTATGTTTTATTTGAGATATAAAATATGTAAACCTAGTTAACAATCACCATAAAGAGTAATGATCATTATTGTAACATCTAGCATTTCCCCCCATAACTTTCTGATCTCTGATGTTCGTTTTCTGCTGCTAGACAGCCATGTTGGGTGTCCACTGTAAACATCACACCTGGTTAATTCAGTCCAGGGATGTTTGACCCCCATTATTTAGGCCTTGATGGTAAGTGAAAATGAATGTTTTAAACTAGAAAGTTTATTTTGTGTCAGTATGTGAGGTGAGATTGTACATAAGCAAAAAAAAAAATCCTGACCTACCAACCCTTGCTTTATTGGTAATATTACAAGAAACAAACATAATTTTTAAAGTCTAATTAGCATTCTGATTCTGCTTTTTAATATTTGTTGGCTGTTATCTTTGTTTGATAAAATACTGGAAGACAGCTTTTGGCATTGCAAAAATGTCTGGTTTACATTTTATGATACAAAAGCACAACTTCTGTTATCTTAACAATTTTAAACAATTGCACATTTTTGTTATACCCCCCGCAAACGAAGTTTAGGGGGGGGGGTATATTGGAATCAGCATGTCCGTCTGTCTGTCCATCTGTCTGTCCGTCTGTCTGTAGACGAGATTTAGTCCAGACCATTTCTTGGAAACTGTTGCAAGAATTTGTCTGAAAATTTGTTCACTTATTATTCGCCATATGAAGGTGTGCACCTGGTATTTTCATCATGATTGGATAATTTTTTTGCATTTTAGAGGTGTTTTTTTTTTTCATTTTGATTATGTGGTTTTGTCGGGATCTGTTCCCAGAGACTATTGCATAGATTTGTATGAAAATTTGTACACTTATTATTTACCATATGAAGATGTGCATCTGGTATTTTCAACATTATTTGGTAATTTTTCTGCATTTTACAGGTGTTTTTTTTTTTTCATTTTTATTGACTTAGTCATTTCGGGTTCATGTCTAAGGTAATTGAGACATAGAATCTAAAACATCTGTACAAAAATGTGAACTACAGCTTAAAACTACTCATTAGAAGTAAAAAAAAAAAAAATCACAAAGTATTAAAAACAGTTTTTACATTACACAGCAGATTGTGTAAATCCATTTGTCCCTTGGGGGTAATGAGTGGACATCATCCAGTTAAAGATTAATTAATGAGTTCAGTGTTGGAAGCTGTTAGGGCATCTCTGATCAAGCAGGTCTTATCTATATCTCCTGGGAATTGGGCAGAAAGAAATAAAGATCTCTGTTGTGTAAGTCTCTTAATTGTAATTTATGTCTGTCAAAATACATAGTTACTGGAACCAGCCTTTTATTTTTAAAATGAGTTTGATATAAAGGTACATGTGTATTAAGATCAATTTAATTTTGTATAATTAATTATGATATTTTTTTTCAACAATCAGTTTGCAAAGTGTCATGTCTCACAAAGATAACAGATGGTTGCAAACTATTTTTTTAATGTAATAAAAAAAACACTGTAATTATTAGTATTGATGTTTTGTTAGGCTGCACCTTAGTTTTATTCATTAAAAAAAATATAATGAGTAATTAAATTTTCACTCTAAATGTTTAAGCAAATTGTGAACACCTCTCACATCTAGAAAACATTAGTGATTTGGTACCTTCTCTGAAAAACCTAGCGGGGGGTATTTGTCCCTTTTGGACACTTCTAGTTTCATTTGATATTTTGTTTGGGCGACCTGAAATTCATTCGGGCAACCTGAAATCGGTACCAAGGTTACCCAAATGGCGAGTTCAAATTTTGACGAGTGTTGAACCCTGTAAAGGCCTTTCAATATGTGCTGCTGGTACCTGGTACTTTTACCCAGCTGAAATCATGATTGTACCGGCCTAAATTCTTCTCGGGATTTCCAGAGAGCTGTCAGCCTAGGGCACTGCATGAGAGTTACATAGGGGTTTTCCAAACATCTGTCAGTCCTAGGGCACTGCATGAGAGAGTTATATAGGGGTTTTCCAGAGAGCTATCAGCCCTAGGCCTTAGCATAAGAGATTTATTTTCTAGGTGGTTTACCAGGCAGTTGTTAGCCCCAGGGCTCTACATAATGTTATATAGGGGTTTTCCAGAGAGTTGTCAGCCCTAATACACTACCTAAGAGAATTATAGAGGGGTTTTGCAGAGAACGGTCAGCCGTAGGGAGGGTTATATTGGGGGCTTTCAAGACAGCTGTCAGCCCCTGGACACTGCATAAGAGAGTTATATAGGGGGTTTTCCAGGCAGTTGTTAGCATGAGAGAGTTATATATGGGTTTTCCAGAGAGCTGTCAGACCAAGGGCCCACCATAAACGAGGTACATAGGGCCATCATTAAAAATATCTTTGTTTCCCCTAACCCGACCCTAAAATCTCAAGTTGGGTAGGTAGGTAGGTAAATTATTTTTTTTTCTGACAGCAGTTTTGAAAATACATTCTAAAAAATTTAATAATAGAGAAGTTAAGCAGATGACCGTGTACGTCGACGTGTACGTGAAGCTAGGGAAATCCCCTAATTTACTGCAATTTACGTCATCGGATTTGCATACCGCATAATTCTACGAGTTGTACACAACGTGTAGATTCATAAGTACAAGGAGGTAAGAACGTGTACCTTCTTAAACTCAAATTATAGAATATATATTTTTCAGGCGGTGTTTGTTGTGATATTGAGAGTTTATTACGTACAACTATGAATCTTTTTTAATCAAAGTCACAGAATTATTTGATAAAAATGGATTGTAAAATGACTTGTTGAAATGACGTTTACACGTACCAGTACACATACAGTTTGTTAAACAGAACACGATGTTAGTTACATGTACTTGTAAAAACACTTCTGGGTTTACACGTTCACGTAGACGCACACAGTCAAATGCTTAACCTCTCTTTAATATCTTTATAAATAAGAAAGAACAAAAGAAACAATTTTTAAACCAAATATCATACAAATGAAGCAACATGTATGGTAAATTAATTCACAAATATTATTCATTTGAACTTGTGAAATATCTCAGGCCAGCATATATTTATTGAAATCGAATATTTACAAAAAGACAAGATTCGCAAATACTCAACCATAGGACACCCGAGAGTATTTTCAAACCTACTATCATCCTCGAGTTCTTACACAGACAAAATCACAAGGGCCTCGCTTGGCGCAGTGATTCTAGTATTTTGTTTTGGAGTCACGACGTAATTCAGGAGCTTATTCTAAGTTTCAAGTCCCGACATGAGACGTAGAATGAGACCCTAAAACACATAGGTCCATTGTCGCAGTATACATGTAGATGTTGGCACGAAAAATACCCCTTTCCAGTGGCGGATCCAGGAATTTCATAACGGGAGGAGGGGCGCAGTTAGAAGGCAGGGGGTTTGGGGGCTGCATTGAAGCCTCCAGTGGGTCTAGTGCAAAGCCCTGGTGCAGGTTCGACGAATTCTTACAAATAAGAGATGTTTTTCCCTTGATTTTAGGATAATGGACATATATGTTCTACATACAGAAAATTCAAAGGGGGGGGGGGGGGGGGGGGCTGGATCCGCCTTTGCTTACTGATGCTTAATGACCAATGGCCATAAGTTCCGAGTAAAAGTCTAAATAAGGAGTCCTCCACCAGGCAAGTGTTCAAATATTGTAGGCCTAACAATTTTTAAAGGTATTTTAAAGCAAAGGAACAACCTATTTTCAAGGGCCTTACTTAAGAAAAATACAATGAACGTCTCAGGAAGCCGTACATTAAGCCATTTTTAAAGATTTCAACACTATCTGGAAAGAGTCTGATTTGGTTGAATTAAATAAAGTTTCATATATCTAATGTTATAGTCAAGAAGTTTTCCCAATAAATAATAGGAATGAAGACACGACATATAAATTATATTTATCAAGATGAAATGACTATACAAAGACATATTTACAACTCCTGTGATCCTATATAGTAAAAATGGGATCATACATGAAATGTTTATTAGATCGAAATGAAATGAAATGCAGTGAAATTTATTGATAAGCATAAACAAGGTGGGCCCCTGCTCATGGGGCAGGCTTTGCCATGCTTACTACGTACGTTAATTTTAGAATACACATTTGTAAATGCCATCTTAACACTCCTTAGTCATGATATATTTAATTCACGAAATGTTTCAAGATTGTAGGATTCTAATAAGTTGAAGATATACAAGATTGATACTTCACCATTGTTTTACAACATGAGCTAACCCTCTGTGGTCACATGTTGTGGGTGAGAGTAAAACAAAAGCCGCCGTTCTGATAAAATGGATTTTGATGAAATTGTATTTTATAAAGTTGATAAACAATAAAAAAAAAAAAAAAATACTTGAATAATCTTATTAAAAAAAACTTTTCAGTCGGTACGATTTAAGTGGGTCGGTCGCGTTAGGGGAAACAAAGGTATTTTTTACTTTGGCCTAGGGATATCCGGGTAATTCTGGACACCGGGTAATTCCGGACAGTGTAGAACTTTTCATAAATAATGACTGCTTTCTTGTTGGCCGTTATGAACCTATTCATAAACTCAATGTTATTGGAATCGTCTGATGTTTTTGTTTTGTTATATTATTACCTTCTGAACATACTGATGTATTTTTTTCAAAATGTTTACGTCCCTTATTGAACTTAGAGCTTTGCACTCTACATATTTATTACATGGGAAAATTGATAGAACACAATGTCTCTGAGGTCAAAACTAAGATTGATTAT